CAGGTAGGAGCTGCCAGGCATTGCTGGGACCCTTGTCTCTGTGGCTGATTCTTGACTCTCTAGATTGCTAACTGCATGGTGGGGCTGTCCCCTTCCCCAAGAGCTTCACTCCCACAGGGACATTTGCTACCTGTCCTACAGATCCATTTTTTCCTGGCATGATATCACCTTCTTGGAGCATTTAAAAAAAAGACGATTATAAACCAACAATGGTGAGAGCACTTACACACATTCAAAATGTATGCATCATTTCACTATCCATTCTACGGCTCTTCCCCTACTCTGTAGAGCAGAAAGGTTTGAAGGCAAGGAAATCCTGGAAGCCACTCAAATGCCCACGAGTAACGTGTGGGTAAATGAATTAAGAAGCAGCAATCCCATCTAGTCACAGAAAAGCACTGCCAAGCAACGCCCGATGACTGACGTTTGAGAGTGCACATCAGAAAACCCTCCATCCATTCCAAACCAATCAAGCCCAGAATGGAATTTCATTAGGAGCTTTGGTTGGAAGCAGCTGGCTGGAGCAGTCAAGCATGGGCTTCCTCAATATCCCCCTGATCCTTTGGGTAACCCGGAGAGAAGCCCAAGTGGGTGAGCGTGGAGATGACCTAGTTAGATCACACCCTTGAACAGGCAGCCCCTTGGGGAAACAAGCTCTTTAACAGGAAGGGGGCAGAACTTTCCCCTTGCTTCCTGGGAGGGGAAGGATCCATTTCCTAGGCAGAGGCAGCCACCTGTGGGAAGGAGGAAGATGGCAGCCCACTTGTCCCTGTGTCCTGAGGTGGGCAGATCATCTTGATAGACAGTTCAGTGGAAAAGAAATTGAGTGTAGATAGAGCCTTGATTACTCTGTGTGATTGCCTGTGCACGTGTGTTCACGTGTGTGTGTATGTGTGTATGTGTTCACACATGTGTATGAGTGTATATGTGTGTGTTCATGCGAGTGTATGCATGTGTGTATATATGTGAGTATGCATGTGTGTTTACGTGTGTGTATATGTGTGTGTTACTCCAGGACTCTTTGCAGAACTTAATTCTGCTAAGCGGGGATAAGGGCAGAGGTTTGATTTTATTTATGAGTTTTATAAGTTCTTACTTTGTAGCTAGGATGGTTTCAAACTTATGGTCCTCCTGCATCTGTCTCCCAAGTGCTGGAATTGCCATTACATTGCCAACAAGTTCAGCTTCAATTTTTTTCCTTAGCTTCAATTATACATAGAGAGTTTTATGGGTTTTTTTTCTTTTGGCAATTAGGAAAGAAGGAGAGAGGGGGCAGAGAAAGGAAGAGAGAAGGGAACAAATGGATAATTATGCTCTCTGAGAAGCCGTCTGGAAATAATAAAGGCAACAGCAGAGGCAGTATTAGAAGGTGGTGTTTACTGAGTGATTTGCTGTGTTCACTGGCCTCTGCCAAGCACATTGCCCATACTGAGTCACTTAATCCTCACAGCGCCCCGAGTCCCACGAGGGGGGGTTCACTGCTATGCCCGACTTACAGAGGAGGAGCCGAGCCCCAAGACTTGACTTTAAGTAACTTTGCCCAGGGTCACAAAGCAGTTACCCACGATCTCCATTTAAAATTAAATGGCCGGTGAAAGATACCACGAAGTTTTGCCATGCGTGAAACACAGCCATGTGAACCAGGAATTCCCCAGACACCCCCAAGGGCCGTACACCATTACATACCTCGGTCTGGGACTGCAAAACTTTCAGAAGCACCTAGAAATTCTGAAGGTCTGGTACAATAAGAGGAGGGGAACTTTCAGGTAAAAACAAAAAGTCTCTTGTTTGAAAATAATAAATGTTTTAGGGCTCACAAAAATCTGTTCCATTTCATCTAGCATTTGATGATTGTCCAGTGGGGTATGAAACTAATGCCAAGAGTGACTTTAAAGCCAAGGTCCTTGTCTTTCCAACTATTCAGAAGGCTGAGGCAGGGGGGATTACAAATTCAAGTCTCTTCATACTCAAGCTACAGAGTTCAAGGCCAGTCTGGGTAACTCATTGAGACCCTGTCTCAAAATGAAAAAAAGGGGGGTGTACTGCAGTGGTAGTGTGCTTGCCTAGCATTCAGGGAACCCTGGTTTAATTTCAGGCACCCCAAAAGATTCATTTAATATCAACACTATAGTGGGGAGACCCCACAAAGTGAAACCTTCTGAGAAGTTCCCAAACTCTCCAAGAAGCCTGGCCCCTCCTAGACTGCTCAGGCCACCCACATTTAAGCTTTCAGTCATAGGCGAGATCACTGCTGGGCCTCCATCTCACTCCTGGTCACATAGACACTGTTTGCATGAGGACTGGGCGTGCCCACGGACTCTCTTTCAGCTGTCATCTTCCCAGAATCCCCCACACGGAGCCTCTGAGAGACTGGTGCTTCCAACAAGAAAGGGAAATGACTTTGCAATAATTTACAGCGTTACATAAGCAATGACAAGACACTGGCAGACACTTAAGTGGCTTTGTTAGTTTAAAAAAAAAACACTTGGAGAGACTTCATTCTCATCACATGGTTTCTGTCATGGCGATTCTAGAGTGGGCTCCGGCTAACGCAAGGCTGTGGCTAATTATACTAACCGAGAAGTCTGGCTATGACATTCTCTTGCTGTTCTTCACCAGAAGTCAGGGCGAGATTCTCAAGTGGCCATGGGGGAGGTCTGTTATCTTACCCTCGTCTCCCCCAAGTAGAATTCTGAAATATTAAGATGCAGTCTATTGAGGGTGGATGTGATTTATACGATAACCAGCATTCTTTGTAGTTAAAAGACAGAACGCCCAGCTTAACTTGGGGTAAGCAAGTTTACATATCCCCTCTGAAGGGTCAACAGGGGCCGCCGCTGAAGTGAGCTGGTCAACAGCAAAGAAGGCTAAGTGGACTTAGCAATGGACATGCATGTGACATGTGTGTGACAGCCACGGGACACACGAGACCCAAAGAAGGCTGCATGGTTGAAGTGGGAAGTGCCTTCTTCAAGGGAGGAGGTGGGAGCTGTAGGTGTCTTCACATGGGAGGGTTTTTGTGATGATCAGCAGGAGAGGTGAACAGACCTTAAGGGCCTGGGGCAGAGTGTCTCTGGGTTTAAGTGTGGCATATGGGTGGGTTTCAGTGTCTTCCTTTGGTGACAGGTCTCCAATCTTCCTTAGTGATTGAAATTCCAGAGAGAAGAATGCAGCTGGGCTCCCAGTGGGGAGATCTGGTCCCAGGCAAAGGGGTCACTTCCGGTAGATCCCTTCCCTGCCTTTACCACTTTCTAGGTTGAAGTTGAAAGTCTTGCATGTTAGAGTGTGTGTTGTGTGTTGTGTGTCTGTGTGTTTCTGTGTGTGTGCACGTGCCTGTGTGTGTGCATGTATTCATGTGGGTACATGTATGTGTGCAGGTACTATGCATGTGTGTATATAGAGGCTAGAGATAAACCTCAGCTGTCATCCTTCAAGCATCACCATTCTTTCTTTTATTTTATTTTTGAGGCAGGGTCTCTCACTGCTCTGGAATTTGTCAAGTTGGCAGGCTATCTTACATTTGTGAGCTAAGCGGTCTCTCTATCTTGTGATATCACCTTTCTAAGACAAAGCACTAGGGAAAGCGGCCTTTCTCGGTGATCTTGTAGTCGAAGGGAGGGAGGGGCTTATTTCACCTTATAACTTACAGTCCGTAATCCAGGGAAACCATGGCAGGAGCCCAGGCAGACACAATGGAGGAACGCGGCTTCCTGGCTTGTTCCCTGTGGCTTGTTCAGTTACTGTTTTATACAGCCCAGGCCCACCTGAATAGGAATGACAATGTCCACAGTGGGCTGGGCTTTCCTACAGACATGGCCACTAATCTGGTGGAGGCAATTTCTCAGTTAAGGTTCCTTCTTCCTAGATGTATCAAGTCGTCAACTGACAGTAGCAATAGCCGTGACACTCTTTTATGTTGCTTCTTGAAAAGTATTTGGTCACAATAACAGGAAAAATGTCTAATACAGAGGGCACAGTACCCTATCCCTGGCTCCTACATGTCATGTGCTCGGTGTCATGGTTCATACCACTCCACTGTGGACAGAGCGAATCCTATCACCAGGTCAACACTCCTAGAATGTGAGCTGAAACGAACTCTCTTTCCTTAAGTCGTGTCTGTGACGTTTTTTCTGTCCCAGTCATGAGAGCATTGGGAAGGGCAGGGATGATGTTTCCCACTAAAGGACCAAAGGGTCCAAAGACATTCTGTAGCCGTTACCGTCAACATCAGACCAAGAGCCCACCTCTGGCCATCCGCGTGGCTGAGAACAGGGAGCCGAGGACAGCTCCTGGACTTCAGTGTTCTACATGTCGTGTGGCCAGAGAGGGCCAGCTCCCTTTGAGCCCTGTGAACTAACAGTAGAGACGGGGAGGACACCCCCATAAACAAATCCAAACTAAGGTAGCATGAGTCAGAGCAAGCGCAGTGGGCCCTGGGAAAAAAGAGAGACAGAGAGATGCCATGTCTCCTTAATACCAAGGAAGCTAAAACTTGATTTCCATTCCGTTAAAGTCTCATCGTGTCATACAACGAAAACTTAAGTGAATTCTCAAATGGCTCCGAGCCTGCCCATGTTGGGCTTAAGATGCTAGAGAATACTGGTGGAAAATTTGTTATCGTTTCCTTAAATGCATGCAAATTTGTACCTTTTGGCTCTCTCTGAAGAAACATGACAATTTGGAGCCTGAATTAGTCCTGAAAAGAAGCTGGTCCCGAATGCCTTCTGTGGCCGCACCTGGATGCCTTAGTCGAGCAAGAAGCAAGGCGGGCACCCAGCGCTTGTCAATGCGGAACCGAGCTGACGGCACAGCTGACTAAACCCACGGCAGGAAAGTGTTTAAACTTTAATTAATCAGCCAATGAGGAAGATTGAGCGCTGTACCACCAGTAAAGCCTGTACCCCACTCACCACCTGCCCCCCTCCAAACACAAGCATCCCACACACATCCTACACACAGACAATTCAATGGGAACCTGTTTCCTATAGAAACAGCTTGTGTTTAGGATACCATTAAGAATTTAATCAACAAAATAATTGAACTTTTTTTTGCAATTTCATGCCAATGAACACTGATAATCCAACCTCGGTGGCTGCAAGTCTCACTTCAGACTGGAATGGTAAATAAAGAAAAAAAGAAAGTCAAAGTGACACGGCTTTGTGACACTGACTTTCCAAGGTGGGAGGGCACCTCTTGGCAGCGTGTCCAGCCCGGCTTCAGAATACCTTTCACTTCTCTTGCTTGCCAGGAAAGCTTAATTCAACAAACGAGTATTTATGACTGCGCCTTAACTGTGGGAGTCCCACATAAGGCTAATCCGGGGGCCTTGGCCCTGTGCTTTCTTGAATTCCACATGAAGACACAGCGAAGCTTGATGTAAAATAAAATACAGCAAATGACTGTCAGTCAGCTTTCCTTCTGCTGTTGTGACTAAGCACCTGAGGTAATCAAGTAAAAGGAAGAAACGTGTATGTTGGTGGCTAACGGTTCAGTGGTCCCCTGGCCCTGCGGCCTCTGGGCCACGGTAGGGTGCGATGTCACATCAAGAAGCGCACGTTGTGAAAAGAAAAATAAACTGCTCGCATCGTGATGGCCAGGAAACAAAGCCAGAGACAGGAAGAGACCAGAGTCCCAACACGCCCAGTATTAGCACAGCACGTGACTCGACTGTCTTCTAGTCCCCACTTCCAAGACGCCACCAGCAGCCAAAAGCATCAGAGGCCAGCAGTGAAGACCTTAGCATGTGACATCTTTGGGTGACAAAGGCCTCAGGTGTGTGTGTGTGACAGGCTGAAAAAAAATGTAATCCAGTCCAGACCAAAGCAGAATGATCCAGGGTTTGTGAGCAAAGGTGTGACCCAGCCTGCCAGGGTTTGTGAGCAAAGGTGTGACCCAGCCTGCTGTCCACTGGCGTCATCCCAAGTAAAGCTACACCATTCCCCCTCCCCCTCCTCTTATTCCTCCTCCTCCCCACCCCCACCCCTTCCTCCTCTCCTGTCAGGTGTTCTATCTCTCACAGGTGCTTGGAGCCCTACACTATGTCACTCTCTGCTTTGTCACCTGAAGAAGACAGCTCAGACGCCCAAGGCTGCTTTAATCGTTGTCTATCCATCAATCTTCTCTCCACATAATCACTCGGGCGCCCGGCTTTGAACATGCTCCAATTTGTCTCCATCTTCCTGGAACTGAGTGGTCAAAAAACGCAACTGGGTTCCCATCCCGAGAGCTAGCCTCGCCTGGGAGACTCAGGATTCCGCGCAGTGCTGTAGCACAGGGGTCCTCAGTCTCTGGTTCCCAACGAGGCCGTTTCTAGTTGACTCAGAGTAGACCTGTTAGGTACTTTCAGCATCCAAAGGTCAGACTGTGGCACTGGAAAGTTTGTGATCGTAGTACATATTCCAGAAAGTCACACCACCGGTGACGTAGTCGTGTCCGCCCCGTGGAGGAGAGGTTTCCTCCTCAGGAGTGCTGAAGGCAGGCTGTGAGAGAACACCTGTTCCAGCTCACCTGCCTGCACTGAGCTGGAGCCTGGCACCTGCAGCCTTTCGCGTGAGCGCCCTCTGCTGGCTTGATGCACGGCTTGTGGGCATGCTGGGAGCCAAACCTGTTCTTCACCCTGACACACAGTTCTGGCTCTAGTGAAGGGAGACATTGTTCCCATTTTAAAGACTAGATTACTGAGCCCCCGAGAAATGCTAATGTAGCTCACAACCATAGGGATAAAGGATGGGAAGGAGCAGCAGTGCCTATAACAATAGCCATATGGACATCCCCATGTGGCTTTAGATTGCCCAGGGCCTGGGAACTCAGATTTTAATGACTGAAAGACGATGGCCAAGTGTGCATCGGGAGGGACAGGGACAGTGGTGGCCCCTCTTGTCATCTGGCCAGTAATCAGTGCCCTTCATCTCTGCCATGCAAAGGCACACTTCTCAGATCTCACGCTCCCCCACTGGCCTGCACAATGAGCTCTGATTTAGTTTCTCTTGCAAGGCTCACAAAATCTTGTGAGATTACGATTGGCCTTCTGCTTGCCTTTGCACACCAACAGCGTTAACAGTAGTAGTAGTAGTAAAATTTTAAAGCTAAGTTTGAAAGAAGTTACATAAGTCTAATTCATACTGGAAAGGGGAGACTTTGGTCTCCAGGACCTCAAACACTGGTTGTCGGTAGCACACCAGAGCCTTCCTTCAGGAAACCAAAAGGGCAAAAGGTTGGTGTGGATGAAACCCTTTGCAGATGGGTTCCCTTCAGGGTCTCTGAGGATGTAGAGTTGGGCTCTATTCTGAACAACCTGTTTTTTTTCTAAATACTGTGTCTATAGGTTCAGGGCCCCTGACACATGAGTGGGGCATTTGCTTTCAGTAGCTCTCAAGGTGGTGTGTAAGTGTATGTGTGTGTGTCTGTGTGTGTGTGTGCAGGCCGATGGGTGTAGGTGGGTATGGGTGTAGGCTGATGGGTGTGTGTAGGTGAGTGACTATGGGATGGTGTGTGTGTGTAGGTGAGTGAGCATGGGTTGATGTGTGTGTGTGTGTGTGTGTGTGTGTGTGGTGTGTAGACCGATGGGTGTGGGTAGATGTAGGTTTGCGGATACACGTTGGTGTATGTGTGTGCACTCAATCATCCCCAAGGCCGCGGTTGGCCCCCATTATGATTCAGACTGAGAGACGGGGAATACAGAGATGCGTCACCATCTAACTTGAGGACAGTTGGCAAAGGGGCAGCGGACTGTGGCCTGCAGACTCATCTGGTTTTACACACATAAAGCACTACATAGTGGGGCTGGAGACATAGCTAAGTGAGCAAAGCCTTGCTGGTTTGAGGACATGAGTTCCAATCCCCATAGCCCATGTGTAGAAAACGGGCATGCTATAGAAATGGCCCATTGGTTAAAGGACTTGCCGTGTATGCATGGGGACCAAAGATTAGTTCCCCAACGCTCACTTAAGCTCTGGGCACTGCAGTCTACACCTATAATAATCCCTGTGCTCAACAGGTAGAGACCTCTGGTCATCACACACAGGTATCTGCACACATAAGCGAACCTGTACTCAAGTAAACATGGCTACATGAATGTGCACACACTCACAAACTTGCTTTAAAACCCAGGTAAGCCACAATATGACAATATTCACAGTAATAAAATCAGCATGGCCCATCACTGGCATTCGTAAACTCATGCATACATATAGAACTCTCATTCTCTTTTGCCAAGTCCCCGACTCTGCCACATTAGTTTGATTCGCACGCGGCAGGGTTTGCTGGTGGTGGGCTGTGACCTTCCCCCAGGGGAGGCACACAGTCGTTCTCCTCAATCCTGCCTTTTGCATCTACCTTTTCTAACGCCTGCTTGCGCCCACATGATACGAATCATCTCTCGTGTGTTGTGTTGCTCTCATAGAGAATGGGCTGGGGTCAGTGGTGCAGGTGTGTTACTCTGAAGGCTGAAGCAGGAGAATCCCGCATTCTAAGCCTGCCTGAACAACAGAATAAGGTCTTGTCTCCAAAGGCCAAAGTAGACAAGGAAGGGAAAAGAAAGAGAAAGTGAATTGTCTCTTGTCAAAAGTGAGAGGATCATAAAGAAATGTCAGTCAAGCAACAGGAGAGCCACCTCCTGCATGAAGTGAAGAAGACCTACATTAAACAGGATAGGGAGAGTTCCGGGTCCTTCGGGCACCCAAGTTCTCTCCTGTCCCAGTGTGGGCGCTGTCCCAAGACAAGCTGGTGTACACTAGTCTGTGGTGTGGACTTGGTGGTGTCAACTTTACATCAGTGTAACGCATTGTCAAATGAAGGCAAGCTTTGGGAGCAAGAGCCACAGCTCCCTCAGTCCAGGCCCCACAGTGACCAGCTACTTCTCAGGGAAGCCTGCTACCATGAGAAACGCTATCTCTGGGCCCTTCCTCTAAGATCCTTACTCAGTGTGTCAATAGAAGACCAAATTTTCATCTCTTCATTGGCCCAAGATTTCCAGTCAAGTATCAAGTCTATTTAGAGTATTGGATCCCATTTTCCGAAAGCTAGTTGTCTCTTCCATACATTTTAGATCCTTCCCTATAAGGCTTCATGTATTTACTTACTTATTGTATGTGTGTACATGTGTAGGTCAGAGCACAGCTTTGGGGAGTTGGTTCTCCTCTTCTACCTTGTAGATCCCAGGGATCAAACTCAGGTCATCAGGCATGATGGTAAGTGCCTTTGTCCACTGACTGATATTGCTGCCACCCCCTACACACACACACACACGCACACACACACACGCACACACACGCGCATGCACCCACATACACACACATACACACACGCACATGCACACACACATGCACACACACACGCACACACACGCACACAGAGAGAGAGAGAGAGAGACACGTGCACATGCACGTGCATGCATGCACACAAGGCATTTTAAGCACAAGAACAATCTTAAGCAAGGTAGCAGGAAAAAAATCCTAGAAGTTGAACTGAGCCCCTACAATTAGAGATTTGGACTAAACATGCCTAGTGTTGCCAAATTTTACACTTGCTCAAGGAAACCCAAAATCTGATCAATTGTAATGATGACCTCTGACTTCCCAATATCAATATCTAATGATCACTAACTCATTTTTAATTTTTAAATCCTCCAAGCCAAATTAGGAATTAGAATTGACCCAAAGTTATTGGATGGATACCTCTGATCTGGTTATGACTTCTTTTTTTTTAATTTTATTTTCCAGTTTAAATTTAGATAAGAATCAAGGTTGCTTCACAAGTCAGTTCCAGGTCCCTCTCCCATTCCCTCCCTTCCTCCCGTGCCCTTCCCTCCCCCCCCCCCCCGTTATCCTCTCATTTCTCCAGGGAGGGTGAGGCCCTCCATGGGGGTGTCCATAGTGTGTCATTTCATATTGGTTATGACTTCTTGTTTTTATTTATTCATTTAATGTACTGAGTGTCATACTTGCACATGTGTATTCCCCCATGTAACCTCAGAGGCCAGAAGAGGGGGCTGAATCCCGTGGATCTGGGGTTATGGACATCTGTGTGATTTTGGGCTGGGAACCAAACCTGTTCCATCTGCAAGAGCAGCAGGTGTTATTCGCTATCAAGCTCCTCGAACCCAGGGACTTCTTACTTTTGAAAGAGAATGCTGAGGGATGCTCAGAAGGCAGTCAGGGCCAGCTGTGTAGATCACATCCACACAGCTTAGAAGGCTGAGGTGACTGAGATAAGGGGATCATTTCCCTCTAAAGCGAGCAACATAAGAAGCCCAGCTATGACCTTCCAATGAGATTGTAAAGTGGAAGCATCTACTTTGCAACCAGAAGGGCTAGTGTTAGCTAACTTCCCATCAGGGGGTGGCTCTTACACTCTCCTATTTCTTCTGCAGGGAGGTCTTTTGGGGGTGACAATAGCAGAACAAATAACAACCATGAGCCAGTGAACATTTAGGCTAGAAATGCTGGGGAGTGTGGTCAGTATATATGTGCATATGCACTCACACTTGTGCTTGAAGATAGTGGCTCAGGAGGTGTTAGTACCACTTCTACTGAGCATGCTCTCCTGATGAGAACACCCCTCCACAGAGTTACCTCTGGAGGTCTAGCTGCATTGGTTAGTTTACTTTTGTTTGCTTCCCCTCCCATGTCAGGGTTGGTCCACTGACATACTAGCCTGTTTTATAAATAAAGTTTTATTGGGACCCAGAAATCATTTTCATCTGGTCCATCACTGCTGTCAAGTTGAGACAGCAGAGTTGAGCAACTGTGACCAGGTGCAAAAGATACACAAAGCCCACGATTGCTTTTATGGTCCTTCAGAAACGGCATGCCAACTGTCTGACAGACGCTTTAAGGCAACTACTCACCCCTGACATGTTGCACGGCACAATCGGTGCCTTGTGAAGGAGACTTGCAAGATGATGCTAAGAGGCAGGAACCAAAACGATGGCGGCAGAAAAAGCAAATTAATCACCTGAGAGCAAACTCCTAGGACATTCTTTCTCCGTCTCACGAGAGAACATGCACCCAACCCTGCAGTGTATTCTAGCAAGAATGTAGGATCCAGTCTGTCCTCAGGTTAACAAGCATCTTTGAATCTGGATATTCAAGGACAGCCTCCATTCTTTCCGATGTGTGCAACCGTATTTAAAAATAAATGCCTTGAGCCTTTAATCCCAGCACTCAGGAAGCAGAGGCAGAGGCAGGAGGGTCTCTGTGAATCTGAGGCTAGCCTAGTCTACCTAGTGAGTTCCAGACCAGCCAGGGATATGTAGTGAAGCCTTGGCTCAAATGCACCAAGTGCCTTAGGGCCGGCTGAGGCGATGGCTCAGTTTTGATTAGTAAAGGTGTCCAGTGAGCAAGTATGAGACCCGAGTTTGATTCCTACCATC